AGATCCAATCCAAGATGATCCATAACTTCTTCATCCGACGTCTGTTTTCGTCCGTCTTTTTATCATTACGCTACTATCAACGAGATCTTCGATTCTCATTTAGGTTGTGTCGGCTAGAAACCACTCGATCTAATATTCAGACTTCAGGTTTCGGCGTTCTTTTTATGGACACACTTAGTTTAACGTATTCTACGACTTTTGTTTAGATCGCTAATGCTAAATATTACTCTATCGTAAATTCACTTTTTACGTTTCCCGGTGTCGTCTCGGTTCCGTCGCGAAACTTCGACGAGCCATAACTTATTCGTTATAACTTGGATTTTGGTGTTTTTTATATATACAGAACCCTTGAGACATATTCTACAACTTAGTTAAGCTTATTTATTCTAAATAATCTTTTTTCAAAAAGTCATTTTCGACCCCTATTATCTCTAAATTGACTAGCCCGGATCTACGGGCGTTACAAAAAGCTAGCAAGAAGAAAACTTGAAGGAGAGAGGCTAGGGTATGTAAAAATCAGCCTAGGGTTTCTTCAAAGTAGGAGTGACCGATTTTAGGTTCCAGGAGGCTCCTTATACAGCTCAGGGATCTAGGGTTAAGGGAAAACCCTAATGTTGCTTTGCTTGGGGCCTAAGCTTATCCAAAGGCCTTATCCAAGACCCTTGGACGAAATCATTAGGGTTTCCCCTATAGATTTAGTCCACCCCCTTCCAAGGAGGTTCTGGAACCTTCCACTCAACTATTTGATAATTGCAAACCAGTCCCTGTACTTTATAATTAATACTGTTAACCCCAAAATTAATTCTAATTAATTTCTGGCTAACTATTTATTAAACATTATGATTTCTAATTAATATATTAATCTGTTAACATATTAATAAATCATTTATATTAATTTATTAATCTTATAATAAATCAATATCTCTCCTTTCATAATTTCCTTGTCCAGATGTTAGGTTTGAAGGCAACCTAAAAGGACTGTGTTGCTATCAATTCAAGTACATACCAATTATAGTTATGGGCTTAGACACCTAATCCAACAGAAGTTCCACGAGGAACTGGGCACGCGACTGCATTTTAGTACAACCTACCATCCGCAAAACGACGGCCAGAGTGAGCATACTGTAAAGATTCTCGAGGATATGATTGGAGCTTGTGTTATTGGCTTCGGTGGGAGTTAGGACTCCTACCTACCTCTTGCAGAGTTCTCCTACAACAACAGATTTCATTCCAGTGTTGGTGCTCCACCATATGAGGTGTTGGATGGACGAAGATGTCGCACCTCAGTATGTTAGGGTGAGATCGGTCATAGGGTGATGGGACGGACATAGGTAGTTTTGCAGACTACCGAGAGGATTCAATAGATCAGACAACGACTACAGACCCCTCAGAGTCGGAAAAAGAGTTACGCTGACAGATGTTGATCAGAGTTGGAGTTCTAGGTGGGAGACATGGTATTACTGAAGGTCTCACCCTGGAAGGGTGTGATTCGCTTCAGGAAGAGGGGGAAGTTGGGTCACTGATACATTGGACCTTTTTGGGTTATTGCCAGTGTTCGAAAGGTGGCATATAGACTGGACCTCTCGGAGGAGCTCAGTCAGATTCACATCACTTTTCATGTTTCGTAATTGCGAAAGTGAAAACTGGATGAGGAGGCAGTAGTGTCGTTAGAAGATATTCAGGTCGATGAGCGCCTGAATTACGTAGAGAGGCCAGTGGCCGTTCTGGAGAGGAAAGTGAAGGTTCTACGGAACAAGGAAGTACCTTTGGTAAAGGTACAATGGGAGCACTGGAGGGGATACGAGTGGACTTGGGAGCTGGAGGCAGAGATGCGGGAGCATTATCCGGAGTTGTTTACTGCAACAGACTTCGAGGACGAAGTTTACTTCAAGTGGGGGAGAATTGTAACATCTCGATTCCCAGGTATAATTTTAAAAGCTTTATATTCATTTTACTGAAGGAACACCACGAGTTGGAGGCCCCAACTCGTCGTGTCGAGCCCAGTCAGCCCGCGTGATTTATGAATTCTACTCGTCGAGCATGGAATCCCTAAATTTTAGGGTTTGCACCCTATTTAAAGAACTTATGGGCCGTTTCTAGCCTCCCTCATCATCAATACAACCAGATGTAACCCTAAATCAAGTCCTAAACTCCCATTGTGTGTGTTGAGAGCTTGAAAGGTGTTATTTGTTGATTTTGGAAAGGAAACTTGAAGAGTGAGGAGCTTGGATCGAAAAGGAGGAAGTGGATCTATCATCTAATTCGTTTTGGCAACCAATCTGAGGTATAAAGCTAATACCTTGATCCTTTCATGCTTAGATCTTCTTCTATGGACATTTATGGTCATTTTTGGGATTTAATGGAGCCACTCTTGGGTTTGAGCTTGTCACAAGGACATGGTCTTAGATCTGGACTCCTCTAGGCCCCAAATTCATAAAGCTATCAACTTTATCTTGTATTGGCCTTTCTCCATGCCCTAAACCTCACCCAAGACTTGGTTTTGCTGTTTTAAGCCTTTTAAGACCTTGCATGCACATAAAGTTAGCAACTTTACATGATAACTTCACCTTAGGAAGCTAGATCTACAATTTGGAGCTTTAGGGTAGCTTAAAAACGTCTGAATGGGAAATAGACTGAAGGGACTCGACGAGTTGCATGGTCAACTCGACGAGTTAGATGAAGATTGACCGTTTTTGGTTTATGCATGGACTCGGCGAGTCTGTGAGATGACTCGACGAGTTAGTTAGGGTTTTTTCCCAACATTTGAACACCGCATGGACTCGACGAGTTACTTGGAAACTCCGCGAGTCAACTAGGGTTTTCACAAATTCTCGAGTTTTGGAAGAACTCGACGAGTCAGTGGATTACACTCGATGAGTTGGGTTAACATGGACAGTTGACCTTGACCGTTGACTTTGAATTTGACCAAGGGTTGACCAATTTGACTTCTAGGGGTATATTAGTAATTTGGAAATTTATGGAAGTGGATTATTGGTGGATGTAGGTGTTTGAGTTTGGAGCTGTACTTAGGGAGTTTGACATTATCATCCCGAGCTACTTGTGAGGTGAGTTGTCCTCACTATACTAATAGGGTCGAAGGCACAAATACCGGCTCTTTTCTGATTTGTATCAGGGTTTATTGTATGATGATATGCTAGTGACCTGTTAGGTCGATATCCTGGTATATATGCTGATGTTATGCTAGTGAATTGTTAGGTCGATATCCTGGTATATAGGATGATGTTATGTTAGTGACTTGTTAGGTCGGTATCCTGGTATATAAGATGATGCTATGATTAATGATCTGTTATATTGGTTTGATTGTTATATATGCTAGCGTATGATATTTATGTGCACATACTCTCTCTCTCTCCCTCTCCTACACCTTACCCCATGTTCTCTTCTTTCCCTTTCCCCCTTCCATCTCGTTTTACATCTGCAGATCTGAGAACTACTGAAGCTAGCATTCCCAGGATTACTCATCCAACCAAGGTGTGTGAGTATGTTGATTTCAACTGGATCTGCATGTGTGTATGTGTATGGCGATTTCAACAACCAACTTCGAAAATCAATCAACAATAGATCTTCGAAATCAATCTGTTGATCCTCTAATTTCAGATGAACCAAATCCATGTTATTAGTCTCAAGCAGTGTAAGTAGGTTATTGCAAAGTATTTGATTTAGATGATGAATCAATATCCCAATTTGCAAATCAACAAATGATCTATTTTACCTTACGGCGACGAAGGGTGTATGTGTCTCGATCGTGTCATACTCCTTGTTGCTTCCCTTGGGAAATCCTAAACTCGCTCACTTTCATCATTCGATTGCAGGTAGAAATCAAAGAACTGGACCGCTATTCTTGTTTGTGGCTCACCTCTCCTCCTTGAGGAATTGAATTTTATGTCAGATATACTATTGAAGAACAAATGAGTGCTTTTAATTGTTTGTATTTTTTTATTACAAGTGATGGTGTTAGCTATTACAATGATGGTAAGTGAAGATGGTGATGTGGGGATCTTGATGAATAGTAGAGAAGAAGATGGTATCTGCAATGGAGGTGTGGTGTGAACTTGATGATGATGTGGAGAAGATGGAACCCAAACCGTTAGTTCTGATTGTGGTGTTAGTGGTTGATTTGTGGTGGCTGGAAGGAGAGATGGTGGTGAGGAGTTGGGTTTTGAAGAAAACGAGAGTGTTGAAGAAGATGATAGTGGATTGTATCTTTGATACATACATACATATACATATATATATATATATACATATACATATATATATATATATATATATATATATATATATATATATATATATATAGAGAGAGAGAGAGAGAGAGAGAACCCCTTCTTATTTTCTTAATTACTAAAGTAAATAAATTAGTATTAGATTTAAAAAGAAATTAAAGAAAAATGGAAAATAAATACCCCAATGGTATTAAAGTCATTTTACTATTTCTATTTGGAAAGACCAAAAACGCAACAAAGCTAGCTAAAAATGACCATCAATCCAAAAAAATCGTAGTTTGGATTAAAACCCCCAAAAAATGCATACCACATGACCATTTTTGCAATTTTGTCTTGAGATTATTATATTCCTATACTAATTAAAGAATAGTTTTAGTATTCTTGTGATACATGTCACTCTAATACAACCCATTCTTAATATTATGCCTCGTGTCATGGAGATATATTAGGCAAATCACTATCACAATTAATGATGATAAGATTTTAAAGAATATAATTTAAACTTTTATAGAAACATTACTTTTCTTAATTATATGTTAAATTTGAAGTTATAAATAACTTTAAATTTTAGATATATCTCTTAATTAATAATTTATTTAAAATAATTGATTAATAAATATAATTTTTTACGGGAAATCTCCAATAAAGTCAAAATGCAAACTTACTTTTGCCGGTTTTTAGGACTTTTTCGTAAACAAAAATTAGTTTAGGACTAAAACGTAAACCGGACCAAAATTTTAGGACTTTATTGGAGATTTCTCAAATTTTTACTATAAAAGTTTAATTAATTTAGTAACTATATATAATTTGGTATGGTATAAATTAAAGTAAAAATTTATACACAAACATTTAGAAAGCTACATACATACACATACACATTACACACGGCGGCAACGACACCAAAAGGCGGTGCCCCCACTTCTACCCCGAGCTACAGCAATTTCTTCATCGATGTAAAACCATATAAAGAAGGGATTCTTTGTGGTTGGTTCAGTCTCATCGTTTCCTTTAATGTTTATTTCAAACGGGTTGAAAGGTCCCACCTTTATCCGAATAAGCTCAAATACAAATGCAAGTATTCTCTTTTTCCATGAAAATCTGCCTTCAAATGTTAGGCACCCAAGAGGACCCAGGTACACACCGTTCTCGATCCTCCTTGCCTAAATATTAGTAGTATAAAATGTTACCCATGTTATCATCTATTAATACAATCACGAATTTGGTTTTCAAGTAACTGTTTAGTAAGAGTTATTGATATGAATTAGGAATTGTGTGTTGAAGTAATTGTTTTGGAATATGAATGAAATATTTTTTTCCTCCACTTTTCAATATCAATTTATGCTTGCTTAATCTCATTAGAAAAAAAAAATAATAATAATAAGTTCAGGATGCTTACAGCTGCATCAAATCTCTGAACAGCGGTAATGGGGAAGTATTTGCCACTTTTCAATCCTTTCTGTAGAATAATAGTATTAAGCACCCATTAGAGTCATCAAACAAGGATACAGAAAACAGCAAAATGCATAATACATATGAGCTACAAAGGATCAGTGGTTAACGTCAGCTGTAAATATAAGCATCCAAGTTCTTCCAGGGGATTCTGATCCTCCAAGAGTCTCACAAAACTGTGAAGGGTCGAGTTTAGCCTTCTCCATCAATTTCAGAGCAGACAGAATCTCAGTAGCTTCAACCTTTCTAGTCTTTGCAGCTTTCTTCAGTACTTTTATGCTCTCCTCAACTTCCTGAACAAGACTTACCATTATAACTCACTCACTCGTATCAAACACAAGCAACGATCATCATTAAAATAAAAAAAACAATTTTTCATACATACCCAGGTTTGATTACAACCAAGAAATGCATTTCAAATTTAATGTCAATCGATTACTTTCCCAGTTCAAAAAAATTTAAGCATTTTGGTGGACAAATAATACAAGCATCTTGTATTGTTTATTAGGGTGTAGCATCTGTTTTCATCAATGACCACAATCATGATGTTTAAAATTAGATTTATGAACAAATCTCGAATGGGTGTTTAATGAATAAAGTAATGCAGAAATCCCCAAAAGAAATATACTCTCTCCTTCTGAGTTTGACTGTGAAATCTCATCGAAAGAGACTAGCGTATGTCTAAAATGGCATAATCACCCTAGTGTTAGCATTTGCATACCCTTAATCTTGCCGAATTTCGTGAAGGGGGGAGTGTGTACCTTACTGGCTGTTGGTTGTAAACCAACTTCATCTTCTTCTTCGACAATAACAGGGGAAGGGGATTTCTGTTCTTTCTCATCAATGGTGGCTTTGATCTTTGTTATGGATGATCTGAAAATGGGGAATTGGGTCGGGTTGTAAAGGAGAGGGCGATTGGGTGGTCGCAGAAAGAGGTGAGCCGAACTAGAAATCACCACACATGGGTTAGCGAAGGAAAACATAGAGTGTATATGATTGTTGGTGTTGTAGGGATTTGGTGAGATTTTGGCAAGTATGTGCGCCCACGATCACTCATTGTTATTTATGACCAGCCATGTAATCTCATCCTTTGTAGTGATTTTGTCAAACTTTAAGAAAATTACAGAAATGGTCCCTTGGTTATGGACTTTTCTTGAATCAAGTTCAATTTTTTTTTTTTTTAATTTGCATAGAACCATCTTTATAGTTTCTTTTTATCATACAGTTAGTCCCCGTGTTCGCCTTCTCTTCCCTTGTCTCGCCTCCACATCAAGATCTCTTTCTCTAGTCGCCTCAACAATCTCTTCCACAGCCCTAATGATTGTAGTCCGCTCCTCGAACTTGACAGCCAGCCTATCAGTGATCCGACCAATGATACCAGACAACTCTTCTTCTAGTAAAATTTGTGAAACTCCTGTGGCAATCCAATCGCGTAGTCATGCGTTGTCCGCATCAATCTTAAAGGATTTTGCTTCCCATCTAAACATCTGCATTCTATTAAACAAAGACTAAACTGTCATCTCATAATCAAAGTGTCATCATTATGCTATAACATTTTACATGCTACGCAGAAACACACACACACATCAACCCTCTACCAACTTCATAGAATCTCTGTGATTCTTCTCAATTCGAGTATGGATCCTATTATTTCAATAATATGGGTCCAATACTACATTCCACACATATACATACTTTCCTCAAGAATCACCTCGGATTCTCTAAGTCACTTCCATATGACTACGCTCATAAGTCCTTGCACTAAACCGTGCACTAAGGCACTTCCTAGACTCTCCTAGGAGTTCACTTCCCATATAAGCACGTCCAGATACTATTCCTAATCCATTAAGAACCCTACCTCACCTTGTTCGCATATGCAAAGGAAACTTCTACTAATGTCAACTAACTACCTCACAAATACAACCACATGCAACAAAGATTAAACAGTCCTTCAACTGAAAAATCCTATACTACAATGGTTAGAATCAAACAAGAGTTGCACAATAAAGTCAAATCAAGCATTCTAAAATTATTTAATCTTTGTGGCAGACAACCTAGCATATTCGCTTTATAGTTAATTAACATCAATACAAGCCTTAAATAGCATAAATCAAATAGCATTCGAGCAACAAAACCAATTGGTAATAAGGCATCATAAGTATTAGACAGTTCTCATATGCACTTCCTGAAGATCCTGATGCATCTATAATAATTCACATATCATGCACAAAAAAGGCATCTTTCCCTAGCAGGCATTCTAGCATCCAACCTGAGCATATCCTTAATCTAGCTTCTAGGATGCGTACTATACTATAACACATATAACATATCAACATATTTAGGTATTTTGGGAATCATTTACTTAAGCTTGACTGATTGCATGCATCACAACCCCTTTTCTTTATAAAAACAATTTAAGAAAATCATTTTCCTTTTTTAAAAGATTTTATAAATCCTCTTTTTGATTTCAAACACGCCGGAAAGTGTGTCTGAAACCCTTAAACCAAGGTTATGATAACAATTTGTAATGTCCTAAAAATATTAGGTAAAAATTTTATTTTTAAACAACCAAAACGATTCGTTTATTTGTTCAAAAGATAATCAGGATATAAAGTATCAACAAAACATCAGAGTGTATCAAATAGATAGTGCAGAATAAATCTTCGGGGGATGCATTACGATAATGTCGGGCACATCCCTTTTGAACCAAAGGTACCTGAAACATTTTAAACATGAAACTATAGGCACAAAGCTTAGTGAACTCTCCAAAATACCACATGCCATACATAACATAACGGTTCTATCTCAACCCCAAGCAAATGTTATGGGCCAAATCATAGTCTTACAATCACTTCCTTCCATGGGCCAAATCACGGTCTTTACTTGTATAAGTGTCGGGGGGTCAGATCCTAGTCTTCCATACATGTGTCATGGGCCATATCCTAGTCTTCCATACATATGTCAGGGGCCAAATCTTGATCTTCCACGCAAGTATCACAAAGACACCTAGCATCCTACATAGTATAGTGAAAAAAACTCACATCACAACATAATCAACAGCTAACCAACTCACATAGCCAAGAAAATAGGTGCCACACACCACCTACTGAATCACACAAGGTAAACCCTTAGTCTACCTTCTAAAACTAGCAATTTGACCAAAAGTCAAATCTAGTCAACAGTGAACAGTTAAAGTCAACATCAGTTGACCTCCACATCCACGTCGTGGCACTTTCTCGACAAAACAATAAATTTCAACATTATGGTAATTATGCCACCACATCGTAGCAACTACACAACGGAAACTTAATAGATTAAGCTCTCAATATGTTAAACCCTTAGCTCATATTTTCCAGAAGGCTTCTTGGGACATTAATGGTCCATAAAAATCCTTGATTTGATGACATGCATGTCCAATGCATATCATTTGCTTAACTAGGTCAAAAGTGGCATAAATGGGAGTCAAGACCATGCATGAGCTCAAAGTAACATAACTTAACATGAATGTAAATTGGCTAGCAGGCTAGTATTTTGTCGAAATATTTGCCGAGTCCATAATAAGAATGAGGCATACGTTTTCTCAGCGGAACAAAGAGCAATAGTCGTCGCTAATCGGAGTAGCTGATTTGAGGTTTATACCTCCATGATTTCTTATTCTTAGAACACTTATTGCATAACATGTCTTCACAAATCTCCCTTTATTGCTTTATTTTAGTCGAACAATAACTTGTTTTCACAAAACGAGTTTAAATTTGATTGGTGTAATCATTGCGAGGGAATCCGCATTCACCAACTTGTAAATTGATTAGTTGGTTGGGAAGAACACAGTTACTAGTATCTCGCATAGTTGTTAACCTGTTAGTTTTCGTGTAAAGTATTGTGGTATGAATCACATCATCACATCGTGCACTTTGTAGCTGTATAAATCTCATTTAATAGCGTATTAGACTTTCTGGGTGCATAATGTTACATTTCGTTAGAGTCCAAAATCCATGTGAATTAGATTAATGATATTCACTTGTTTAGTGGTTCGTCATTTGTGCTTTTACTATATCATTAAATTCTTGGTAAATGGTAATTGATTCTGTGATTTCCTTAGAACATAATACTCAACTTTTTCTATTTGACTATTTCGAGGCCCACTTTTTGTTACTCTGTTGCTTTGAGCTAAATTCATAACTTGGTAATGTATTTAAATATAATATATGTTAAATCGTTTCTATGTTTCTCCAGTAAGTAGGGTTTTGGTTGAAAGAATTAGGGAATTATTTGTTTGGGGAGGGTTGTTGGTTGTTTTCGGGTTCACTTTCTTTGGTGGTTTCCTTTATACTGCAGTTATATCAAAATTACTCCCTCATTTGGATAATGTTATTATCCTTGCAATTCAAAATGACAGGTATGCCATTTGATTACTATTATTATTATTATTATTATTATTTTTGTAAATACAAAGTTTTGATAGTTTTCTCCATTTATAATACCATTTGTAATAAGTATTATTGCTTCTTGGTGCCTTTAACAGTTCATGTGCTTGTGTTTGTTGTATACTTCTACTGGCTTAGCATGAAAATGTTTAAGCATACATGGCCTCAAATCTCCAAGGATAATTAATGGTCATCATATATTGTGTTTGACATGCATTTGGATTGAGACTAATGTTAATCAGACAAAATTACAATTTTTTCATCCCACTAAAAGAGGTAGGAGTAAGATAAAGAGCAAATCCAAATTCAAACAAATATATAAAAAATGTATACATATATTTGTTTATGTATTTATATGTAGTTTGTAAGTATTTATATGCATACAGATATATAAAAAAAAAATACATATAAATATATTCATTTTATGTAAAAATACGTAAAAAGTACATATAAATATTTTCACATACAAATAAAAAAATTCCTTCTTTTTACATGAAGAATGTTGATATCACCTTAGACCATAACAACATTTGTTTGGCTTGTTATGTCATGTGGCATAGATGACCTGCTAAAAATATCAAAAGAACTAAAGTAAAAAAATTATCAGGTTTCTTAGGTTTTTTATTAAAATAAAATTTTGGACTTATTATTTTTCCAAAATTTTTGACTTTTCTAGAAATTCTCTTAAATTAATAAAATTGTAAACAAGCCCAGTGAGAAGTATGGAACTTTTCATGATATAAATTAAAGATGTAAACAAGCCAAACAAGCACAACACTAATCAAGCGAGGGCTCTTTAAAATCATAGAAGCTCAGCCTCAAATTCATTAAGAGTTCGAAGGCTCGAGATCGCGAAGTATATATGTAAAGTTTGGGATCAACTTGTTAACATGCTCATTTAACTTTGAAGCTTGTTAAAAAGTGCGATCGGCTTGTTATTTTTCCATGTTTTATTATTTCATACCTGTTATTTTTCTATATTTTACTAATTCATAAATAAAAAGTATATATATATATATATATATATATATATATATATATATATATATATATATATATATATATATATATATTGAACGGCCAGTTAGTTGTAAGATGTTAAATTCACCAAGTTAGTAATTCATCTATGCCTAAGTTTGAACCCATGACCTTCTATCTAAGAGACTTCCACATCTACCAAGTGGGCTAGTCCCCTCCCCCCCCCCCCCCCAACACACACACACACACACACACACACACACATATATATATATATATATATATATATATATATATATATATATAATTATTGGCTCTCCAAAGAACCAAATATTTTTTTCAAGTTGTAGAGCTTATTCTTTATCGAAAACAAAAAAAACTAAAAATATCTAAATTCATAACTTAACATTGTGAATGTTAAATATATTTTTTGGATTCACTGTGTGAATTTAGATTCACATTGTGAATTTTCAAAGATTCACATTGTGAATTTGACGAAATTTTTTTTATCGAATTTGATATCATTGGAAAAATGATAAAAACTTTTGAATTTTTGTATTTTTAGTTTTTTTTTTTTTTTTATAAAAAAGTTATAAAAATTGAAAAAAAAAAGATTGGTTATTTGGTTAATTATGTCTCTCTCTCTCTC